CCTTGCTCTTTCTATTCATTATGCCAAGCTGCCCAATAAATGTGCCAAAAGAATGAAATTACTTTTAAATAAAAATAGATGGAGATTAAAAATAAATAAATAAATAAATAAATGGAGATTAATTTCATCCTTAAGAATTCTTAAAATGCCACAAGAACTCTAGGGACAACTGGAGACATCCTGGGGTGGCACAAACCCCCAGTCTTGGACTGTTACCGAAGCCCCAAACACCACTGTAACTGCAGCCCACTGTACTTTCTTTTTGTCCCTAAAGCCATCCAGCTTCCTGGAGCTGACTTCTATTTGGATCCCAGCTATCCGGCTCCTGATGTGGGCTTGTGGTTTTCGACCGCTGGCAGTTTAGATAGAAAACGACTAGGCCTTAGTAGAGCGGAAAAGGGAGTGCAGCCAGGCATTATGCAGTTCAGAACTTTGACCGCCAGGTGTCTCTGCAGACAAGCAAGAGGGTTCCTTTTTGGCTTTGGAGGCGGAAGATGGATTTTCTAGTATAACTCAGAAATATTGTGGCTGAAATGAACCGAACAAAGGTAGGTCAGCTACCTACAGAAATCAATTCCAATAGGATGGATTTTTCTTAGCCAACAGCCTGATTGAAAACTTTAGCAAACCTCAATCTTACTGCGAAAAAACTGCTGTAACAGCAGTCTCTTCAAAACGTGTGAGGCTGTTTGAAGCTGAGTTCCTACAACCGAGGGGCGGTCCCCGGAGGCTGGAAGGGCAGAGAGCCAGGCTCGAGGGTCAGGAGAGATGTGAGGCCGAGGGCAAAGAGGGCAGGTGCCCCTCTGTAGGCTTAGAACCAGGGAAATAAGGGACTTTCATCTGAGGTAGACCTTCGAAGTGTGCCTTTATTTTCTGTGAAATGTGTGAATTCCTACAATGTTAGATGCACTTCTTGTTCAAGGGAAAGATCCCAACATGCCAAAATCTTAATTGGTATTTGTTGAGTACCACACTTTCATTTACCAGAAAGAAGCAAATGATAATAAAAAAAATTCTGTTAGTGTAAATATTTGGGAGTTGATCCCAAGATAACTGAGTATACCTTACCTTAAGGAGTGTATCCTTTTGTGGAAAAAAAGTTGTCCTGGCTGAATTGTTCTTCTCTACTAATATCCCATTGATTTTCCTTATATAACTCAAAGTGTATTTATCTGAGGAAAACATGGGTCCCAAATAATAATATAGTTACGTCTGAGAATACAGAAAACTTTAAAATAATCATATTTAAAGATTTTTTTGGATGATCTAAAGGCTGATTATTTAATAATAATCCCAAAATGCTTAAACTGTATCCTAGAACATATGCAAAGTAGTCAAGGGTAATTTTTAAATTTTGTGTAGTAGCTGGAATGGTTCCATTAAAAAGAAAAATGTGGGCAAGCTGAACAGAAAATCCTTGACTGAAAGCTTATTTAACCTCTCGTAAGCCCCCTCCCAGAGATATTTTACAGCAGGAGACTATGTACTCGCTGTGGCTGCTCAGACCTGTTCTGCACACCCAGGGGAAGCATTTGAAGGTGACTAGGTTGGTCTGGCTTAGGAGGAAGAAAGGCAGCAGGTGCTGAGGTGGTAGGGCAGAATGCAGCCCTAACCAAGAGAAGGCACGTGCTCAGCTCACCTGGAGAAGCAGGGCCCATTGAGTGTTTGGACCAGTATCTAACAGTGCCCTGATTTCTATGCGATGGCAGAATTTATAACTGGCTAATAGTTTTCTTGTGCGGGAATATGTGGCATGTAAATATTCTATGACGTTGCCTTTTGGCATACGGAACTTCTGAAATGATGCTTCTGTGTCAACCGAATGCTCATATGTTAGCCTCTTGCAGAGCAGTAATGAGTTGGGCCAATGTAAAGCAAGGGGCTGGACTTTCTCCAGGGTCCTCATGGCTCTAAGAATCTACGGAGCAAGATTGTGAGGCTCAGTTTTCTTTTGGTTGCTGGTAAACTGCCCTGCAGACAGGCTAAGCCAGCCTTTAAAATCATAAAAGAGTTAACAGACCACCTCCTACTGCTTCTATCACTCTTGGGTCACACTAGATCCTCAGAGGTTTTGTATCACTTCCAGAAGTGTCTAAGTTCTGTTATATCCATCAAGAATGCCTTGGTTTGCCCTTTTTAATTTCTGGAAACAAGACACAATGACATTATGTGGGAAAATGTCTCATTTTCATCTTTAAGTCTATCTTTTGCTTTCCCAGAAAAGAGTGAGTTGGTTATGGAGGCAGGCTGGGAGCTGGGTGGGGGGCTGGCTCCCTGACTCCTCCCTGGGCTCCTGGGGCTCTGAGATTCCAGCCCCCAAGCTGCTCCTCTGAGTCTGAAGCAGGGCAGGAACACACCTACCTACCTGTTCTCTATGGGTACCAAGACGCCTGCACAGTAGGCAGACAGACTCTTCACGGTGCCATTTCTAAGTGAAGCCAACACAGGTACTTCAGTCGGGTTTGGACCCCATGTTTACTGGCATGTTTCGAGGCCTGCTCTGTCCTGCTCTCATGGACTCTTGATGTTCTCTTCTTCCCTGGGTCTAAACTGAGCTCAAGGGGCCTGGGCTTCTGGAGAAACCACTCTTCCTATCAGCTCCTGCCTGGAAGGGTTTGTAATCCCGTGGCAGAAGACCTCAGGCTCCAGAGGTAGGCTGTCTGGATTTGCATCCTAGTTCTTTCACTTTCTAGCTATGTAACTGTGGCCAATTTCCTTGATCCCTCTGTGCCTCATTTTCTGTCGCTTCAAAATGGGGATAATAATATAATCTGTCTCATAGGGTTGTTGAGGATTAAGTTCAATTATGTAAACTGCTTAGCACAGTACCTATCAAGTTGTTGTTACTGTGAGTTCCTCCCCAAACCTAACTCAGTCCTTGGTCTTCAATCCTTATTAAATACATACATCTAAACTGTTTACCTTTTCCCCTGATGATTATTCCCCTCCCCAGTTTTCTATCTCCCCAAAGTCTAAAGAGGACTCTTCAGGGAGATCGCCAACAAATCTTTGTCCAAGGGTCAATAGGATGCACCATCTACTAGCGTCAGTCCACACAGGTAGGGAGCATAAGTGACATAACACATAGCTTTCAGAATATGGTCATTCTCAGGGACAAGTGTGATCTGCTTGTGCTCTTTGGAAATGAAACCAATGCTCCATTTTCTAGTTTCTCCCCTGAGGCTGCTTTGTTTTTGACATCCTCCAGCGAGTGGCGGAAGTCGCAGTACTCCACGTCCAGATGATCTCTGTGAGCAGAGAGGTTGTAAAGTCACTAGTGAGGATGGTTTCAGTCTCCAGAATAAAACTTTTTCTCCCTTGCCTTTTCGCCAGCTAAGGTTTCTGTGAGACCCTCTCCTCCTCCCCTCACTGGGACACTGGGGCCCAGTACCAAAGTTAATGCATAGGCCCTTCTAGACGCAGTGAGTGGTGTCATGAAGAGGTAAGAGAGGTTGCTACATTCCATCATTTATCTGGGATTGAATGAGCTCAGCCAATGAAAGGGCTTAACCAGGGCAAGAAGCCGAGGACAAATTCATCCTTCTTCTTCTTTGCTAGTAAAGGAGCCAATTAGTGTTAATTGTGTGGGCAATTTGGAACAGCCACCAGGGAATTGATCCAAGACCAATTGTGGAATGGCCTCTCTGTCCTGTCCTGGTCCTAGACATTACTCATAGTCAGATGGGGAATTAGAGTGCAAGTATATATCTTTTGGTCAGAGAGAGTAAAACTGCGCCCTCCTCACACACCTACAGTCCCCTGGGCATCCACTTTTAATATTGTACATGCAGTGACCTGACAACACAGCTGAGACACGCAGGTGGATGGCTGGGGACTGGACTGAAGGATGCACGTGCACATCGGAGTGTCTGCAAGTCTTCCCTCCTCCCCGCTAGCCTGCTGAAGACCTTGTCACTGACAGCCCGATAGCCTTTCCCTCCTCAACCCCAACTAAAGCGGTTAGGTCCACCTACTTAATAAAGGGAAGGGGGGAAAAAGGGAAATCTGGAGGGTGTGGAATGCCAAGTAACAGAGGAGCAAAGAAAAAGGGAGACGAGATTTATTATTGGAATTATACGTGTGATCACCTTTAATGTCCTTGGGAGGGTCACCAGTAGGATGGAATTTTTATTTTATTATTTACATACTTATTTTGTCCAACAGACTGTCGTCTGCCTACATAACCGTGACGTGGGATGCGGGCAGTGTGCACCGCTGCTTCGTCAGGGTTATACAAGCGATGGAAGTGGGACGCCGGCGCTGACAGTCATCTGGCTATGGAATTGTTCGGGGACAGGGTGGGAGGAAGGAGAATGGGCACCTCCCGCGGCCCCCGCCTAGCCAGTGGCTGGGATGCCTGTTTGGGCTGGTTCCCCCGCCCTCGAGCACGCAGATCCTGGTTTCCCCATTGCCCTCCGTTGGGTGACAATTAGGTTGGTTGCGCCGGTGAGCTGGGTTTTGTAAGAGGAAGGAATTTTCCGAAGAATTCCCCTGCCTCGCTCCCGCCTGGTTACCTATCCCTGCCTTTGCGGCCTCAAGGGCTAAAGTGGGACGCGGCTGGTATTTTTGGTGAACAGGAAACATTTTGCGTTAGAGAGCCTGCGTGACCGCCGAAGTGGGACGGGGGGCGCACTAGGGGTCACCTGAGCGATGCCACACGCGGCGGGGCCGGCTCTGCGTCTGGGAGCGCGGCGGCGGCTCGGGGCGCGCGGGGGCGCTGGCGGCGCCCACGGTGTCCTCCCCAGAGGGGGGCGCCCGGGAGCCCGCGCCTCGGGAACCCGGCCCACGCGGGAAGGTCGAGCTGCCCGTGAGGTCACGGTTGCCATGACTCCGGGCAATGACGCGCGTCGGCACGTGACGCGCGGTTGCCATGGCGCCGGGCCCCGGCGGCGCGGGCGCCCCGCCCCCCGGGGTGACGTCCGCCAGCTCCCCCGCCCCCCTCCTTTTCCCGCCCCCCCGCCCTCTCCCCCCCCCACCCCGCCGGCTCCCGCGGCCCGGGAGGTTTCACTGCACAACAAGATGGCGGCGGCGGCGGCGAGCGGAGCTGGCGGGGCTGCCGGGGCCGGGGCGGGGGGAGCCGGGCCGGCCGGCCGCCTGCTGCCTCCGCCCGCCCCGGGGCCCCCGGCCGCCCCCACGTCGGTGCCCCCGGCGGCCGGCCCGCCGCGTCCCCCGGCCCCGGCCTCCCGCGGGCCGGTGCCTGCCCGCATCGGCTACTACGAGATCGACCGCACCATCGGCAAGGGCAACTTCGCCGTGGTCAAGCGGGCCACGCACCTCGTCACCAAGGCCAAGGTAGCGGCGCGGTGGGGCTGGGGGCCGCGGGTGCGCAGCCCGGGACCTGGCGTCCGAGTGCGGCGGCGGCCGGAGGGACCGGCGACAGCGCGCCGAGGGGTCGGCGCGGCGAGCGCGGCTCGGGCTGTCGGGGAGCGCGGGGCAGCGGGCAGGGGCCGTCGGGGCGGCGCGGGGGGCGCGAGAGGGGAACTCCGGGGCGGAGGGGAGGGGGCCGCCGAGCTCCGGGACCCGGGACGCCGCGGTTGGGGAGGGGGCTCCCCGGAGGGCAGCGCAGGGGCTGGGTGGAGAGAGGTTTGAACTCTGGCCGAGCCAGGAGACTGTAAGCCAAGACGACTGTGGAACCAGCAATTAGGAAATCCTGCGGGAAGGAGGGCAGGGGCACAGGAAATGGGCACCAGGAGGTGGGGGGAGACAAGGGCGATCTGGTCAGGAGAGGGCCAAGGCCGGCCGGGATGTGCCCGGGGGTGTGCGGTGGGCGCAGGGTGCGGGGAGGTAGCAGGCGCCTGGGACCTTATGACAGATCCGGTCCGCGTTGGATCGGCTCTGACGGGGGGACGGGGGGAATGGGAGCCCGAAGACCGACAAGATTATTTTGACTGCAGGAGGCGATGTAGAAAATGGGGAAATCAGGAGGGAAAATTACTTTGCTTTTCCGCAGGAAGGGGCGCACATGGTGGCACTAGGTAAGCAGGGGTTAAACAATTTGGGAGAGCTGGAGTGCTGGTTATTTTTAGTTGCTGGACGGTCTGGAATTGTGGGCTTCATAGAACACAGGGTGGGCTCACGGTGGTCGGGGTGGGGGGGAAGGCCTGGTGACCGAGGACGTGTGTGAGGAACCCGGACACCAGGGGATCACACTCACGGGGCCCTTTGGTTCTCAAGGGATTTGTGGAGCTGTAGTAGTGAAATTAGCCAAGGTCGATTAGGAAGCCATATATGTACACACATAACATTTTACGTAGAAGATTCATTTTTCCTGTGGAAATACGGGTTAGCCCTTTCCTGTAGCCTTCATCACTGGGACTGTTGGAATGTAAGACCTCAGAAGGAATCGTTGGGTTTTGATAGGAGCCACATAACCCATTTGTACTCCAGATTTCCTTCTTTGCTCAGTCCTCACTTGAATGAATACTTTCAATGTAGTCATTCATTGTATTTGGACTCTGGCTTGTTTCCCTCCACCCGACTAACGGGCACCCTTGTAGTTGCTGCTGGCCACCAGACCCTCATCACGTCCCCTCCCCTCAGCCTAGCCTCTGCTTATCATCACCTACCTGGTTTTTGATTTTATGGCAATGGCTTGTTTTCAGAAACCAGCTACTTATCAAGGCCTTCTCTCCTGCCCACTTAGAACCTGAAGTCCTTTTCCCCTCCTTTCTGTCAAAGACTACAAGGGGCCTTTTTTCCCCAGATGATGGGGTGGGTGTGTGGCTGTGGCAAATTGATTGGTCAGTTTCACTTCCTCTGGGGGGGCCTCCTTCAGCCTCCTGTCAGTTTTTGTCAGAAGGCCTCAAGTCTGCAGGTCTGAGCTGAATGAGATGCTGAAGTCCAGGGTTCCCTGATGTTACCCTCAGACCGTGGCTGGTCTCTGTCCCCTTCCAGTTCTGTTTACTGTTAGCCCAGCCAAAGTTGTGTTTACAAACGACTCTAGTAGTTTGAGCCGTGGTCCTTGTTGGGGCATTCCCTTTTTTATCCCCTTCTTTTTGCAGTAATCACATTGTGCTCCTGTGATTATTTTGCTCTGATCCCTGGGGAAGGTACTCTATGAACTGAATTCGTTGCCTGGTTTAGGGTATCTATGATTTAAGAAAGAATTTTGTATCTCCCAGACCTTGGATACACCAAAATATTGCTAAAAAATCTGTGACAGACAGGATTGAATGTTTCTGTAACTGTAATTGCAAACAGTTGATTCTTGGCTTTATATACAAAAGAGACATTTCTATCTTCAGTAGTCAGCAAAGCCAGTGGCTAATTATGGCTGGTCTGCTAGCTTTCTAATTTTCCTGTGTGTGTGTGTGTGTGTGTGTGTGTGTGTGTGTATTTTCTTAGTCTCTGAAATGGGTATCACTGTTTATGTTGGTTTTTATCTTTGATCACTTGGGGTGGGCAGTTATGCAATTCCTATGTATGGAAATACTCAGAATCTTGAATGAGACCGAAATGGTTTGGACACTGAGTTGCAAGTGGGATGGGACCACACCAGCCCTCACTGGTGTTTCTGTAGTGGCAGTGTGCAATTTCCTAGTTACTGTTATAAGCACCCTATCTTTTGCCTCCTAAATTACTCTGATGACATGAGTGAAGCTTAATTCACAAGGAGTTGTCATGTGCCCTGGGTAAGTGCTGAGCATATTTTGGCCAGCTCCATGCTTATCTGAATCCACTTTGGAAGGTATTCTCGAATGCTGACAGCTTAGATGTGCCGAACAGCTGCTGACATACAGTATGCTGGCCTGTTAAGGCCATGCTTTGGTTACATGGTGGCGAGGAAGGTGCCTCGGTACTAGGAGTTGCAGAAGCTGCCGTTTCAGGTACTCAGGTAGAGAGATTTTTCTCCCCATGCACTGCAGCGTTTATCTTTCTGCAGTCAGGTCACTGGGAACCAAGAGCTATCCCCCTCCCAGCCCCCTTCTCTTTCCAGAACGTATCATTTTTGTTTGTTTCATTTTGTGATTTTTTTCTTTCCCCCTTTTTCCCTGTAGGCCACTGAATGGTCTGGGTTAGTCTTTTAATAATCGGACTCAGGTAATTCAGATGATATTTGTGTTGGCTGAAGGAGGTTAGGTAATAGGTGTTTGTGAACATCAGAGAAATGTTTATGATCACGTTTTCTTACATACACTATGTGTTCCAAGGACTCAGAGGCTAAAGTAAACTTCATTTATTCACTAAGCTACTGTGCTCTGTCCAACAGTTAAGTGGTGAAGCTGGTCCGTTCCCAAATTCTGTTAACTCTCTGATCTCCTAAGGTAGGATCCTGGGCTGAATAAAATCGGTAGAGAAAAAGGTATGTTTTCCTGTCTGGTTGGTGGTGACTTCTGCTGCTTGGCATTTGTGAGCTCAGACTTAATATTGGCAGCACTGCGGAGCAGCTCACGGGAGAGAGTATCCCCCTGTGACAGACTTCCACCAGCAGATCTCCCTGGCTGTCTGTCCTGCCTTCTTTGATTGCCTTTTTTGGCGGGGGGAACATTAGTCTGAGATTCTCTGGCTCCGGTCTTTTGGTAGGATACTATAAAGTATTCAAGAGATTAAAAGAAAGATGATTTTCTGCTTTCAAATTGCTTATAGTCCATTGCCTGTGCCTAATTAGACCTTCACTGGCTGAAATGAAAGGGAATAAAGAGTAGATGTATTTTGTATGCATTTTTAAAAGTACATATGACTATTGGTCAAATACTTTTAAAGTGTATATTAGGAAATATGCATCACTCTTCTCATTTTGTGGGAGGAGCTTGAACTTTGGATTAGGTTGTCTGGGTTGGGATCCTCTGCCGCTTAATATCCTCTGCCACTCAATATCTGAGTGATCTTGGGTAAATTACTTAACCTCTCTGTGCTTGGATTTACACTTCCATAAAACGGATGACAGTAGTACTTACCTCACAAGTTTGAGTGTTATGAAGATCAAATAAGACAGTATGTGTGAAGCCCATAGTGGGTATACAGTAAATGCTATCAGTTATCATCATCATCATTATCAGGTGCTATGGAAACAAAGGTGAGTAAAACATAGAACCCCTGTTTTGCTTCTCACCCCTTTGGAACAGTTTATGAATGCATGTGTCGTTCGTTTTGTGTAGGTAGATGTCATCCTGATGATACGCTTTCAGGGTAAAAGAATAGTTTGCTGTGTGGTGCCACTTTGAGAAGGGGGTTTAACTCCTGTCGACTATGGCTAATTTCATGAAAATGGCATTTTAAGACATAGTTTTCCATTAGGTAAACTTGAAAAAAATTACGAGACTAATGAAAATTGTGACTATCACCGGCTCTTGCTTTGGGCCGCCTTGATTTTTCAGTATGTGTGTGTGTGTGTGTAACCACTCTTTGTCACATTGGTTTATGGAACAGAGTTTGTTGGAGTGCAGTATTTTCTCCAAAGATTCACTTAAATTTGGTGGAGATCATAAAGAAATACTCTTATGCACTTAAGAACACATTTGCATTTGGGTGCAAAGTATGCTCCTTAGAAAGCCGAGGTCAGGGTTCTTAACCTGAGGTATTACACAGAGGAAACATTTTGCCCCATGACCCTGTTCCAGATATTGACATCTGTGTACTGTGTGGTTTAGCACAAACTCATCTCCAGGAGAACAGCTCAACGTGGGCTATTATTTTCACTTGTAAGGAAGAGTTTAATGCAGCAGATGAGATGCTGCTTATGCTCCTTTGAAGGCTGAAAGCAAGATTCTTTGGTAAGTAGGAAAGAGAATTATGTCAAGAAGAGTAGAAGGAAAGATTTACATTCATTACGTTTGAGGAGGGTAGTTCCATCCTAGGTAATCTAGAAGTAACTACTGAAAGATGACCAACTTCATTTTGATACAGTTATAATGGAATTACTAACTTGGTGGAAAACTTTGTGAAGAGCCAAGATTGATTTGGACTGGTCTTTCCAGAGTCAAAACATCAGTATTCCACTTAGAACATCAAAGCTGTTTATTTGAACATTCTGACTTTGGTGCCAGCTCCCTAGAAAGTCGTAGATCTGGCTCAAGCCAGAGGTGCCCAGACTAGTTATTTCTGTGCCAGCAGTGCTGTGTTCATTTTCCAGGCATCCATCCGGCTAACGTTTTCTAGTTCATGGCATAAAAGAGAACAAAATGGATGCTTCGAAAAGAAAAAAGAATACACTCTACTCACCAGAGCCCCTATAATTCTGAAAAACACCTAAGACCTCTGCACAGAGATGAAACCTTTCCCTTAGCCATTCGTTCATTCTGCACAGACTCACTGAATCCAGGTTTTGGGTCAGGTTCTATCCTGGGCTCCTG